GATCAGGGAATGGGAGGGTGAGGTACCCTCCACCCTTGCTTCCCTTAGGCAATGCCCCAGGCTTGTGCCCTGCCCATCCTTACAGTTTTGTTTATAACACAACATTTTACAAAGAGAAGGGCACCATGTTGCCTTTGTGATAGGAGTAAATTCCATGGATGGAAGGGTGCAGACAGAAGTGACCATTTTCACTTGATCTGGCCACAGACAGCAGTAAATAGCCGAACCAAACACAAGTGCACAGCTGCAGACTTTAAAAAATGGCTGATTGGGCAAAAATCTGACCCCTCATTGCACTCTCAAACAGCATCTTTTGTAACTTCTGCCCATGCTACCTCCCAGCCTCAAGCTGTTTTTCAGAATGGGAGGGGGAAATGTAGCAGAGAGAGTTCAGTCTGGACTTTTTTCAGCCGCTGTTGGAGAGTGGGGCAGGTGTATTGGAGCACCCCCCCAAGATAAATGGGGCCTCCAATTTGCCCACTCCACCCTCCAGCACTAGCTGGGGAACTCCTAGAATGAGCTTTCTCTCCTCCTTTTCCCCTCTCATTCTGAACCAGGGACAGGCTGGGAGGAAGGAGGGGCTGTTGCTAAGGGAAACTAGATGCAGGCTGGCAACCAGCAGCTAGATTCCCCTCCCCACTGAAACCAACAGTGAACTTCTGTTTGGTCTGGGGGATCACTGTAACTCCGAACACTTCCTGAAAAGCATTCTCAGCTACAGCAGGAAGCTACACTTCTCTATGTGCCTGAAGTGCACAGAGGAAAAGAAAGAAGGATGTAGGGGAAAAAAATTCCTATATCTGAAACAACTGGTCTGCCTACTTAAAAGAGCGTACCCTTGAGAATTTTCTAGTAACATCTTAGTACAAGTTGATCCCCTACACTACCATAAGGCAGGAGCTGCCTATTGATTGCTAGTCCTGGTTTGACTTCTAACCAGCATAAACGAGGCTTGTGGTTCAAGACACTGGAGACCAAGGAAAACCTAATATAGTGCATTTCCTTTCCTTGGCAAACCAGCAGTAAGGGTGGCCATGGAAGACTTAGAACTTGTGCACTGTCTATTATCAAACACAAAGAATAAATTGGCAAATACAGAAAACTAAAAATTAAATACTAAGGGCAAGACTAGATGTTAAAAGTGACATCTTGCTGTATTAAATTAATACAACGTTATATGACAAAGCATAGTACATAGAGAAATTCTGTCCCGACCCACTCAGGTTCTCTCACTAGGTATAAATTTTATGTCAACTCTTGTGATATTTTAAGTAATTATTAGAACGTCAAATAAGAATTCACAAAACCCATATCACCTTTGGAGCTTATAAAAGAAACACTGCCAACCATCCTTGGTTATCTGAACCCCTTTGGAAAGCACCTCTTTAAGAAGCCTTTTTAATAAATGACTTTAACATGAAATTGTATAACAAGAAATTATCCGCAGACTGGACTGCATTGAGAATGGTCTCAACAGAGGCTCTGGGTTAATATCACATTACCTGGCTCTGGATTAGTATCCCATTGCCTGGGTTAGCTTTTATAACCTCTTTGTTTTTCCTTTTTTGGTCTCTACAACCCACTTCCCCCTCTCTCAGCAGTGCCCCCTCCTTTCTTCTCCCTTTCGCTATCTTTTGTATTTAAATATCCTTATTCTTTCTATCTACTATCCCTGCTCTCTGCAAGTCTGTGACAAAGGCATCTTCCAGGCCTGCCCTTGTCTCTGGGCAAACCATCCACCTTGCTCACCTGCCACACCTCGTTGATAAATGGTTATGATGGTGGAGGGTGAGAACGGGAGGGTGCCATTTAATTAGTGCAGCTCTCTTTAATTAGCACGGCCCACATTTCAAAATGGCAGAGGAGGTGTTCAACAAGTTTTAATGAAAGTTCTCCAACAGCATTTTAAAATATGGGGATGCTGAATACCCAAGACGCTGCAGCACGCAGAAGCATTCTGATTAGAACACTCCAGCAGACTCGATTAATCACGTCTCTGATGTGTTCTAATCACAACGTGTTGGAACACATTTAAAAGTGCCCTAAGGTACCACTCTTCCCTGCCTTCAGATTAAGGGGAAAGGCTGCTATTTGGCTAACTGAAGGTTCAGATAACCAAGGCTATACTGCATAACTGCATAATGTACTGTAAACCTACTGGATATATGACTGCTGAAATAAAATAGCTATGTAGCAAGGACTAAATTTAGGAATTATGTTTGAATTATTTATGTATTATACAACACCCTGAAATCTAGTACCTACTTACATTTCCATTAGAACACTACTCCCAACCATTCCCCTTTGCTCTAGGCACTTGACAATACTGTACTCTATGAATAAACACACACCAAAAGCTTACTGCTGTGCTTGGGGAAAATTAAGCCGCCCTCATACGTCAGCTGAGATCAAGCAGTCTTGTTAGAGACCCAAATGACTTTTAGCATGCTCTTCTCTATTTTTGCTGCATATATCCAACATCGTCTTAATCCTATCTAAACCTTGAGGTCAATTGAATTTAGAACATTTTAAATTACTGCAAGTAAATACAACCTATTCCTGCACCAGAATGAGAAAGATGCCTTTCCTGGCATAAAAGTATACGGAGTATATGAATGTTTATATTATGCTGACTGGTATTTCTAATTTATAAAGCCTCCATCTACCATAGTCCATGTACTCTCCACTTACAACCCCCAACCTTTAAAGTTTAAGTGAGAAGCCAAACACACTATACATTCTGTTCACTAATCACCTCCTTGCTCCTTTTTCACACTTACTTGAGATATTCTTGATTTAAAACTAAAAGAAAATTGTTCTCTTGCTGGATTAAATTTGCTTTAATTTTTGTGCATTTTTAAAAAGGAATTCTTACTATCTAGTATTTTCATACTACCATAGGCATATGTGGCCTTTTTTTTTCTGGAAAAGTCCTGTGATAGATAAAATCTGGGGCAGAAGATATTTCTTAAATATACATATATGGATACAAATATATATAGGTATACTGAGAGACAGAGAAATGTGCATCTATACACACCCCATGTGTCTATATTTTATATTATACTATGTATATTATATATATATGTAATGTATATTACATTAAATATATGTATAAATATACATCCACATATATATATATATATATACACACACACACACACACACACACACACACACACGGATACATATATATATATGCATGTGTAGATATATTTTATACACAAATACACCTGTGTGTGTATTTGTGTATGTATGTATATACGTATACATAAATATACAGGCTTAAGGACAAAACAAATTACACATATTATAAATTATACCCTCTCCTGAATAGTGGTGCTACTTCCTTTCAAAACATCTATGAAATTTATAGATTAAAACAAGATAATACACTGTTTCCATGTCTCAAGCATTTCTACAGCATTACTTTTTTTATAACAGTTCCTGAGTATACCCTTTGCTAGTGAAAGGAGAGATGCAAGATAGAGATGAGCCATGCTATTATTACTGGGGATTCTCTAGCTGGATTCTATCTTTATTTTTATAAGGTTTCTCACATTTCAATTGTGCTTAGACTCTAAATATTTGAAATTTCCTACTTTAAAATATATATATATTTATATAGTCCATACTCTAAACTATATTCTATAATAGATAGGACTGGCTAAACAAAGAAAAGAAAGATCCATATCTCTGTCTGCATCTTCCAGGCAATATACTTGCTTACAAATTACATTTTTGCATGCTACAGCAAAAGCTCTGTTATCCGGCATCCCCCAGGAATGGGGGATGCCGGTTAATCAAATATGCTAGTTAATCAAATGTGCACTGTCCAGTGCACTCTCCAGCATCAGTGTGCCAGGGGACAGGGAGGGAGGCCCTGTGCAGGCTGCTTTGCCCCAGGCCATGGGCTGAAGAAGTGAAGAAGAAGAACTCGGCTCACAGCAGCGAAACCAGAAGCGGGACTTCCGGTTTTGCTTTTGCTGCATCCCTCGGATGCCGGTTAGTGGAGCTTTCTGGTTCATAAAGCGCTGGATAACACAGCTTTTGCTGTATGTAAGAGAGAAAATGACACTTGAGCTCTTCAGTCTTATCTTATTTCAAAATAACAAAATATGCTCATATATATTAGTCTGAACCAGGCTGCACAACAGAGTCAAACTGGATACTGAAGCACTCATGTGTAAAAAAAAAAAAACATGCTCAAGGGCATAGGGGCAAACTCTCCCTTCCTATGACAACTAAAAGAGGTTGATAACCATCTTTGGAAAAACAAAAAGCCAATCTCATGGGCAAAAACAAGTCTCCAGGGGACTGCAAAGTGAATACTCGCCTCTGCTGCTAAGTGGAAATAACCAGGTACCAGTGTTCTGGTTATGGAATAAGGTTTTGTAATCAATCTATTTATAAAAAGGTAAGCCAGATCATAACATTTTAAAAAATTAAGTGATACAAGCTTTTTCAAAATGTTTTTAAAGGCTACTTGTAAATTAATTGATGACCAAATGTCACATGGTATTGTAATTTTCTGCTTGGTTGTTGGTGGTATTTACCACCACTAAAGCTCTCTAGCATTAGAAATTACTGGACTGGATTGAACTGATGGTCTAGAATGAATGCTCTGAAGACAGAAGACAGGAATTTGATTACCATACCTTGTGTCTTGTTTCTACAACCTGGCAGGGACTGGTCACATAATGGAGTCAAAGTATTTGTTTTTGTCTTTTCATGAGGGAAAGGTGAACGAAATCATTCCAGAGATGTTGGCTGGAACCTAGCTCTAGTCTTAAACAAGAAAGATTGTTGTCACAATTGAAGTCTTGTTGACAAGCGCTGTGAAGTTGAACAAAAAATTTCTTAGGGCTCCAGAAAGGATGGGGATGGCACCTTTGCCACAGGAAACAAACAATATGCCACAAACTACTGGAAAGAAACACAACAAAACCCCTGCGTATTTCCAAACCAGGCACTATATTATATTAGCTGTCAACACTTACATTTCATTTGCTTGGAGATAGACTTGTTGGGTTCGAGCCAGTGCTGAAAAGGAAGAGCAGAGATAAGTGGTTAAAGTGCTGCACAGTATAGCACATCCTTAAAAATCAAGAAACTGTGAAACAGTCTTTTTCTGTTCCATAATAGAAGTCGGTTTATAGATGCGTATCAAAGGCACAGGAAACACCTCTACAGTGTAACATTTATACCCATCATGATTAATATAGTACAATTATAAATGATGTTAGAGTTAAAAATGGTTTTTATTGCATCTGGCTGGGATGGTAAGACAAGTATTCCAAAGAGAGATCAATGCAAGCAGACAGGCTCCACTGATCAGAGTTTTCAGCAGTGACTTCTACCATACAATTTATTCCCTTCTTTCAGAGGGATGTTCATGCTTGTGAATTAAGGTCAGGGAACATTAGGAAATGCTCTATTATCCTAGCTTGTATGTAGTCCTTATAGCTGAAACATACCAAATGTTAGACTCCCAACCTATATAAAATCAGCATACATGATACTGTCCTTTCCTAAGAACCAAAAATGTCATCAAAATCAAAAAGGTGGGAAAGAACCGATGTTACATTTAAACATGAATGGTATAAGATAAGGTGATCGTACAAGGCAATTATGGATGTGGTTTTGATCTAGTCCAGTGATTCTTGATCAAGCTGCATGGCAACCTAGGATGCTGTGAGAGTGCCACACAATGTTAGCACCATTAGGTTTACGAACACAAGTGACAAAATAAACCCAGAGATTTCAAACAGAAATTCATGGTTTCTGAGGTATTTACAACAGAAAAATTGTCTATTGCTTTTCTGTAGTAAAAAAAAAGAAAAGAAAAGAGTGCAAAGTAAGAGCTGGCATTTTCTGGGTGGTGCCTCAAGTCTATCCAGGGGTGCTTGTGTCTCAAAATATTGAGAACCACGGATCAATCACATCCCATAAGGAAAAAGGAAGCAATGGCTAAAACCAGTAAACTCCTGTTTATTTCAGAGGTGATGAGAAAAGATAGTCACTTTCAGGTTTTAATAATTCTGCAAGATGAACTCAAGTACCTACATAAAAATATTCAGGTTAAAATTTTAGCAGTAGATACACTAGGCTGCTTCACTAGAAGTCGCACGTCTAAATGAGCTGAACTATTGAGTTAGCTCTTCTAACTAACATAAGAATGTGTTGATATTCAGGTGTCACTTTTGCCCACGGTCAGTGCCATTTGAACTGAGATTTTTTTCTGTAAGCAAAAAAAATCTCCATATTAAAATAAGGTCTGTGCTTTGAGAGCAGCTGGTCAGAAAATGAGCTGTTCAGCTTCACTGATGCATAATCAACACTCCACCATGGGGTTCTTTTTAACCCAATGCATGCTAGCTCAAAAGCAATATTTAAAACAGTGTATAAAAAAAGTTAATGGACTTTCAAATCATATGTAATCCCTGTTTACAATATCGGATTTGAACAAGATGATCCTTGAGGTCCCTTTCCACCCTCTGATCTACAATATAAACAGTTTCGTCTGTCACAGAAATTTATAATGGTTGCTAATTAGGTAGCAGTCATCTAATTATAAAAAAATAAAATCAGTAATGACTTCCTCAAGAAGCAGCTAAATACAGCTGCAATTAGTAGTAGAGTAGGTTCATCATGTATGACTCGTCACAAAATTAAAAACATCCCCTAAAAGTATACTTCTGAATGTGTGCAATGTATTTATGCAAGACCAGCCAAACAATTATGCCACTTTAAATTCTGGAATGGACTGAGTGCTTAGAAGTGCATATCAACTGATCCATTTTTACTGTTTCATCTGTCTACTCCTGCATTAAGTGAACCTAAACCACTATAATTTACAGCTGAATGAAACTGGTAGTGAATTACTGCAGATTAGCTGACTGAGGGAAAAAGCAGACAGATGAAACAGTTACTAGTTCAGCTAAATCTGCTGTAAATCTTCTCGCTGTCTGCACATCCACTCCAGTTTTCATTGGTATAAGCTAGGTACAAACATTCCAAAACTTGAGATTGATTGAATCTAAATTACACGGTTTTCTCTAACCAGCATAGTTTAGATCAGTAATGAACAGAAGATACATTTGCCCTTGGGGGGTGGAAATCTTAGACCAGGTGCCACCATTTTTAAACCAGTCTATGTGTGCCAGACTTCTGTTCTGTTATGAGTATATGTGGGTTTCCTAACTAACACTTATACGAATAAAAGTATAATATCTGTACCTAGCCATAGTTGTTACATCTGCCAACACTCTTCTACCTTAAATGATCATGCTCAGCTGGTCTGTGGCAATATTATGCATGATAGATGCTTCTCCAGAGTTATATGAGAAATTATCTTGCCACTGCAGTACTAATTTTGAACCCCATCTCTACCTGTTTCAAAAAGAAATACATTTCTCCTCCCTAATATAGCACATGCCACACCTCATCCCAGGGTACAGCATTTCTTAAACACCAGAAAGAAATAGGACCTGGAATTTTTAATTCATGGGGTTTAAAAAAAATGTTGACTCTCCATGTATATAAAATACTTTGGATTATAACACAGCAACTATTTTCATTACTCTTACTCTAGAGGAACACACTTTAGAGGGTTTTTTGGAAGAGGAGAAAGTGATTAAGGGGTAAAACAAAAGGATGAATGTTACAAAAAGCTTGTAGTTTTATGTAGGTTAGTCCATATTATGTAGTAAAGAAGAAGTCAGAAGGACCTGAGAGTTCAGACACAAGGAAGTCACTTGCCTGTGTGTTCTCTCTCTTTTTCTCACCTATATATCCACACACGGTTAAAGGTGTTTCTGAACCCAAATAGATAGCAATGAGGAACTTGGAAAGTGCATAATACTAAACCATTTTATTACCTTTCAAATCCCCCAGAATTGTTTTTTCTATCTCTAGCCAAAGAAAACCATTGTTTATTCACCATTTTGCCTTTTCCCTTTTTGAAAGACCAGCTTGTAGGATTAGTCTGGAATTTCCAATGCAGTAGGCCGGGCCTCAGAGTGCGCAGGACTTGGAAACTTAAAACGGCAGGTGCAAGTGTATTTCAGGTGTCAAGGCCAAATGCTAAAATTTGTTTTGCTGAGCTTTGAATTTCATCAGTTTAAAACTGTAGATTCTATACTTTGCCAAGCAAAATTGAGGGCGATTCATCAAGTAAGATTTTTGCTTCAAGGTTAAAGCAGCAGCAAAGTCATTTTTAGAAACTCAAAGTGTAAATGGGGGAGGGGAAAAGAGATGTCCTCCTCACTCTGCCAAGACAACCTCATTCAGGGTTGAGACTAATGCATACCTAATCCTTCAGCACAACTGTCAATGGCCTTGCTCACTTGCTTGACGTCACATTGTGAGCCAACAACCAGGTCTCTTACTCCCCTAGACTGCTCTGTCCCCACTACTAGACTGTACCTGTTGGACTGTGCATGAGGTTGAGGAGATAGAAGGCTGTGGCATCATGCAAAGTTTCTATGGGAGTGTGGGACCATGCTTCAGCTTAAAGCTATTCCTGCCTCTCCAAGTAGTAGCACAGCCCTCTATACCCCCATACAACCCTACAGCCCCGCTCCCCTAACCTCAAGTGCAGTCCCACAGTTTCCAGCACAGCCCCCAACCCATACAGAAGCCCTTGTAGTCTCCTTGCTAGGCCTGCTGCAAAAAGACCCAAGCTAGCTCTGCATGTACTAGCTCTCGAAGTAGAAGCAGCACAGCTGTACCCATGGGGTGGTGGGCCTGCATGACACAGAGGGGATTCAGCCCATAGAGCACCAATGAGGTATCCCAGAGATAATAAGAAAAAGAAAAAAAATCTCCTTTTTACATGTTCTAAACTGATTTTTCTATTTGAAATGACATCTGGGAATCCCTTTCCATTTAAAAAAAAATTAACAATGCCCAGAATTGAAATGAAAAATTCCATTTTAGGCCAAAGGTGGGGACACATACACACGCACACACAATTCCCTGACCTGAAATGATTATTTTTTCTCCCCCAAAGCTGAGAGCAAGCTAATAAAAACTAGTACAAAGATTCTCACAGCTCTGGTCATGGAGCCTGCTCCAACTGCCACTGAAGTTATTAGGTGTCTGCTAATCAGCCTTTATGGGCTTTGGATCAAACCTATGGAGCTGAATTTGAAAAAAGAGAGAGACATTTCACCTTGTGCCGGAGTATACCATGAATGATCTAATCTTATTCGCACCAGTCTCTTTCATTCTCTTTCCTGTTCAGGCAAGTGTTAGAACTAAGCAATTTACTGGCTGCAAAACCTCTGAAAGTAAAGCAATTTGACCCCTATTTGCCTTCCCTAGGAACTGCAGCTGTACCTGCAGTGTCTCTCATTGTGTGCTGTGCTTTGAATTGGAACGATCTCCACTTCTAAGCCTTCACCTCTTGATCAGCATTTAAGCGGCACTGAATAGGCACTAGTAAGGCCAGGTGTCTTTTGGTGTATTCACAATGCTGAGTGGCTGATCTGTCACATGCCTTTACAGCAAAAAGGATGAAAAAGGACACCACACAAGGGTAAAAAAACAAAACAAAACACATTTTAAAATGCATATTGTTTAACCTGTGTATATTTCATTAGCCATCTGACAGGCTTTATTGTTTAAAGAAACTAACTGGCATATTGGGGCATATTGCACTCAGCTCCTGTGCAAGTAGCTTGAGGGAGGTAGGAAGCCTTCCTCACTACTTCTTCTGGCCCGTTAAGGGGCAGGTGTAATTGCAGTCCCTGTGCCTGCCCCAGACCTTTGATACTGTTCCACAGCTTTGACCACATCCCACTCCACTGCTCAGACTAGGAACACAAGCCCTAATCACAGAAAGATTTAAGTAGGACTTGAGCAGACTTTAGGCATGTACCTTCAAAACTGATCCATAAAGCCCCTGCTCAGCATCCACCTAACCCTGGAGACATCTCAACATGGTAGAGGGCTTCCTTTGTGACCTGAAAGTTCCCTAGATGTCTGCAGATCTATGTCTGCTCACGCCCAGGACTGTACTGGTAACTAACGCTTGAGAC